GTCACATTGAAGACGCTGGAATCGGCAAATATTTGACTTTTTTGCGATTAATTGATTGGCTGATTATTGTCCAACCAGTCGATTAATAGTTTCAGCTTGTTGTTGTGTTCATAAGGGCCGATGTACCCTCTTTAAAAAAAGCCAAATCAAGGCTCCAAACAGTCTTTTTCTCCTCATTTACCTGTTTGTGAAATAGTTTGCAAACAAATAAGCGCAAGCGTGCACACCAGACACTCCTGCCACCGCGGTGCGTTCAGGTTTCGGAGACGGGATTCCCCGCTAATTACTTTTAATTTCCTTTTCCTCGCGCTCCATGATTTCCTCTGCAGAAATGTGATTATAATTACGAGGGGTGATAGTACGCCGCTCACCAGCCCGTACACCGTCTGTCTCCACCTCTCTCTCTCTCTCTCTCTCTCTCTCATTGTCTTTCATCCCACCTTGTCTATATTTAGCAGCGCAGCCCTCAGCCGCTCATCACACACTCTTTTATATCCTCGAGCCGAACACGCTGCAGCTTTTGGACTGTGCGGTAAATATCGAGTGCTGCTAAGCTCGGCTCGATGCTGATTTTACATGGTCACGACATGCACACACAGATCCATGTGACTTCTCTTTGCCCCCCTCCGCTCTCTCTCTAGGTGTCTGTCTGGAAACATTTTGGTGTTTGTGTCCATGAATTCATTACTGTGTCTGTCTGACTCCCCCCTCCTCCCCAATCTTTAGTCATAATTGAATTTATAATTTCCTCTTTCTTTCTCTCTCTCTCTTAGTCAAGCTTTTTGAAGTGATTGAGACGGAGAGGACGCTCTACCTGGTAATGGAATATGCAAGTGGAGGTGAGACAGAAATTAAATTGTCATGTTGTTTGCTGCAAACTTTGTACCTTCAACATGTTTGTTTTAATTGTTTTATAAGCCTCATAACAGAGTTTCCTCGACCTAAAAAGGAACCAGTCATCCTCACGTGGAAGTTTAAACGTGAAACAGCTGATTGTACAAACACAGGTCGACTGTAACTGAAACTGTAAACTTAAAGAAAGAGTGTAACATTTTGCAACCATATCTCCAGATAGCACCAGATATAGTCGGTAGAAGTCGGCACACTGTGTGCTGCTCCCGAGGTCCCAAGTATGATTTATTAACACCAAATGTGATTAAATGTGCGCGTTAATAATTTATATACGTTGGGAGCAGAATACAGTCTGTAGACTTCTTCTGTCTGAAAGCACAAATGAAGAGGAACACAAATCTGAGTTCTTCTCAAGTGTTATTTACAGTTTTATCTTTAAAACAGACTATAAATAATTGAGTGTAAAGAGACGACTCGTACTGTTGATGTACACTGAATAAGTTGATGTTACTTAGAGAGAATATGGGACATGACGTTGGGTCCATAACTTGCTCCATTATTTCCTTAAACATTTACAGAGACTGTCTCTTTCTCGACTTGAAAATTATTATTATATATTATTATTATAACACCATTAGCAGCTTGAGGAGGAGCCAGAAGAAACCTGATTTATGACAGTTATTTTTATAAAAGTTACCTACTGCAGCGTTAATGTGAGATTACATAGCTCTTTACTGAAGGAAATTATGAGTAAATTATGAGGAATGTACGGACACATAAAGTGTATTGGCAAGAACATGCATTACAATACTGGGTTACGATTCTATATATTGTGATTTTTAGGAAAATACACCACCATATTTTCAAGCGACCAGTTGGATCTGCATTTGTTTCACTATCACTGTCTGCGGTTTTAAACACCGACATCTATGTTGTTTGAGAATCGACACAATATCACAAACAATATTAATATCTTTCGATGCAGAGACACGAATCAGTCCAGTGGAAACTAAGACAGACCAGTCAGAGCAGGAACAATACATCGATCGACTCCCATCGGCTCCGTGGATTTCTGCCTGTCTGAAACTAAAAGCTGTTAAATCAACATCCATATTTTTTATTAAGCTGTGTGTTCAGGATCACCCCGGATATAAACACTCTTCCTCCCTTTAGTGAACTTCCAGTGAGGAGTCTGTAAACTAGCTTCACATTCGTATTGCAGATGAGTGACTGTGTGTTACAGCAGAGGAAGAAGAATAATAAGGAGGGAGGCTCATTAACTAAAGCAACTGTTAGAAAAACATTTCCAGGAAAAGCTTCCACCTAATGGACTAAAATGTAAAGAGACAAACACTTTTGTCTTTATTCAGTAACTGTCAGGAACTGACATTTCAACGTCATTATCATCTAAAGAGTTGTCAGTGTCCATATTTATAACTACAAAACAGGAAAATCTAATTTATATTCTCCAAATGTGAGAGCTCCAGCATCTTTACACCGGTTTAGTTTATTTTAGAGGTTTCTTATAATGAAAGCGTCTTTTAATTCCTCCTTTTTTGAAACGCAGCGTCACACATACACAGGACCTAAAAGGCTCAGCTTGTCATTGATTTCTTGGAAAGGTCACGTTTGGACTGCTGAGCCAAGTGAAGACGACAAATTGTGAAGATCTACTCGCTGAGGAGCAAAAATCACATTACCGCTGAGATGGGAGCTCTGATCACAGGCCAATTGCATTAAATCTTTAATAAAAATAAATCTAATATTTCTTTCAGTTTGGGATTGATTTTCTTGGAAGTCGAGCAGATTCTCAAGGCGACCCCTCAGCTCTCCGTCTTGTAGCTCTGATTCAGGATCTCTGCAGCCGGTAATGAAGTTTGTTACTCGAGAAATAATGAAAATACAAACTCGGCTCATGATTGGGAACGTTCCTGCTGACCTACAAGCTTTCAGACAGTAACAAGAAACGTTATTTATCTGAAGAGAGAGAGGATTCTTCCAATAGAGTGGATACAAAACGTACTAAATAACTGTTTAAGACAATACAATCTCCTTTTATTTATACATTCTGTAGTATAAAAAGTACCAAACTGATTAAAAAAAACGATCTACAGTCAGAACGAATCAATCCGCAATCGATAACAAGTTGACAATCTTCCCTCGATCTACTGACCTCACCTGCTCTGTTGCAGGGAGAGAAAGAAAGACGTTATCTGGTATTACGTTCAAAAGGCGAGTCATTGAGGGAGTCGACCGGCTCACCTGCTCTTGTGAAAACGGGACCACAGGTTTTTTTTTTTTTGGCCGACTTTATAGAAAATACTGCTGAAGGTCAACAGAGCAGACACACAACAGGGAGAGGGAGAGAGAGAGAGAGAGAGAGAGACAGAAAGAGGCGAGTTAGAGTTACTGTTTGCAGAGTTGTGTGCATAAAGGGGAACAGCAAGGTGAGCAGATTAAACTAGTTTTTTGAGTAAACATTGAAATAAGGTGGAGAAGGAAGCAGAATTAAAATAGCCATAAGAAGCAACCTGCTAGAAATGAGTTCATGTTGGTTCTAACTGATCCTCAATGTATGCTCAGAGTCTTTCTCTCTACCAGCAGGTTGTTAATTTAGGAAAAAGAGGATAGATTTGTGCGTGCCTAGGACTTTATTCTTTTTGCTGAGGTATCAAGAATCTTTTTTTTATACTTAGTATTGCATTGAAGTTTAGTTTTTGAGACATTCATGACTCCCCTCAGGAGGAATTGTAATACCTTTGATACCTTTTTCTTTAGCTTTCCATCTAACACCATCATCAGTTCATATTTTATATCCAAGTGCTTAGCTTTGCATGCTAACGTGCAAAACCAAGATGAACGTGGTAAACATTATACATCAGTATGTTAGCATTGTCAGTGGAGCGTGTTAGCATTTGGCTCCTAAATACAGCCTCACAGACCTGCTAGCGTGGCTGTAGGCGTTGTTTTTCCCCACTTTATAGTCCAATAAGAAGTTTCTCTACCATCCAGTGAGCTGGTGTTAACTTTTTAACTCAGATCGTTGACTGAAATGTTCCAGTTTCCAGAGATCCATGTTGGTATACGTTGCTGGATCAGGGCTAATTGCATTCAAACAGGAGCAATCTGTGGGGCAATGTGGCTCAAGAAGTCTCCTCAGCATTGTTTAATTATTCAGTAATATCATGCTGCTAGAAAATGTTTTAAACACAATATAAACTTCCTGTTTCACATTCATATTCACATACAATCATCCAAATTTCTCAACACATTTTTAAACAGCACAGTTTTTCTAAAGCAAGGTTACAATTTTCTTCCTACTCCCCAGTTTCGTTCCCAATCTCATCCCCATGTACGCCACACGTTGTGCCCTTTAGTTCTGACATGCAAAGTGTTAGCTGGCACATTCTGACTCTAGCAAATGAGTCACAGAGCGCCGATGAATTGTTGCTTTTCTAGAGCTCTGAAGTATAGAAACGTACACTCTGACCGCCTCTGCAGGTCATTGCAGAGAGAGTGGGAGGGCTTCGAGGATTCAGGAAAAGTGGGGGAGGCTGTTTTTTTTTTGTTGCTTGTTATTTTGTTTAGTTCCTTTTTTTATTTTTATTTGCCCTGGTATGGACACACACACACACACACACACACAGATACGCCAGCCACACTAGTTCAATTAGCACACGAGCGAGCGTAGTCACGTTTTGGCTGGGAGTGTGCAGAAGTGTGGGCCGAGGGAAGGAAAAAGGGTCTGCTGCTGGAGCCGAGCTCGGCAGCAGCAGCAGCTTTGTGCCTCCAGGAGAGGCTCAGTGTGGAGGAAGCAGCCCCGCGCTCGCCTCAATATGGTCAAGAAACACCCTCGAACCATGCACATGGGTGACGGTGCAGGCCAGCTGCATAGAAGTTCATCCTGAAGTTATTTCTGTTCGCTTATTTTTTATTTATTTTTTAAGTTGTGACTCACTTT